TTAGATATCCCTGGCTCCGGTTTAGCCTCCATCACTTACTGTAGTGTGTCTCTGACTTGGCTGCATGCTTAATTTAGCTAGCAGATTTAAAAACAATATTTCTGCTGGATTCCATCCTAGAGATTATGATTTAATTAGTCTGGGGTGGCCTGAGCATTGACTTTTTATTTTACAAATTTTTGATATATATTTATTATTTACATTTAATCATTATGCATCTTTATAGTGTTCAACATTTTTCTCAGCACAAATACAGTGGATATCAGTCACGACAAAGATATTACCATATACATCATCAGCAGCAAATAACTTTTTATTTTTGTGTCAATTAAATTTATTCTTTGTTTTTTTCCCTGTTTCCCTCTCTCCCTCCCCCTTTCATGCATCCTCTTTTATCAGCCCCCACTACCTCTAGTATCTACAGTTGTCCTCGCTGCTATTATACCTTCCAATCATTCAGTTTCTGCTATAGAGCACAGACATTCAGTATAGATTGAGTGGGGACATAATTCCACTCTTAGGTATTTACCCAAAGGATAGGAAAACCCTCAGTTGGAAAAACACTTGCATGCCCATGTTTATTGCAGCATTATTTACAATCTCTAGGACATGGAATCAATCCAACTGTCGAAAAATAGATGAGTGGACATTACTCTGTGTACTCTGCGGATACTACTCAGCCATAAAAAAAAAAAAAAACGAGATCCTGACATTTGATACAAAGTGGACGAATATGAAAGACTTCATGCTGAGCATTGACTTTTTAAAACTCTCCAGGTGATTCTACTAGTTTGAGACTCGCTGACTACATGATGAGGAGGAGTTTACATAATGATTTAATTAGTCTAATTTAATTTAATACTAAATTTCAGACCCTGATTGCCTCAGATTTTCTTATATGTAAAATAGGTATAATAACATCTTTCCTATAGAGTTGATGTGAGAGTTATAGAATAGATAATGTGAGATGTCAAGGTGATTTCAGGGGAGCTGAAAGGCTTTTTTTTTTTTTTGCCATAGGATGTGTGCACTCACCAGAGACAGAGAGAGACAGTGAAAGGGAAAGTGAAAAATCACTCCCTGGGGGTCGGGGGCGGGGGGGATGGCCACTCTGCAATTCCTTCTCCTCCATTCTCCTCCACGGATTTTGGGCATGGATGTACATGTGCCCAGTGTGATTTTTAAGCCACAGGATCTGGATTTTTACTTTTAAAATCCCAGTATACTTTGGCCATGCTGCCTCTTCTCAGCACTACCAGCAGGCCCCATCGTATAATAACAATTTTACCAATAAATCTGGCTTATTCTACCCCTTTGAGGGGCATCTTCTGAATTCATGCAGAGTCATCTGCTGAGTGATTGACCTCATTCTTTTTTTTTTTTTTGAGAGTTTTTTTCTATAGGGCGTGTGAGCTCACTGGAAAGGCAGAGAGACAGAGAGGCAGAAAGCGAGAAATCACCCCCCAAGGGGGATGGCCATGCCCAATCCCTTCTCCTCTCGGGATCTTGGGCATGCATGCACACGCACCCGGCGTGAGTTTAAGCCACTGGGTCTGGGACTCGATCTGTGGTCAACTACATGGGAGTCCAGTGACATAGCCATTACGCTAACTGCTCGTCCTGACCTCATTCTCATCTATACCTCTGGATTCAGCACAGCTCAAACACCCAGCAAGCAATTTTTTAAAGACAAAGAACATATAGACCTTGATTAGGGTCAGGATCTACCCCACTGACATACTAAATTCCAGACCCTGATTACTGTCTGCATATCCTCCATGTGACTGACCTTTCTGGTCACTTCCTCAAGTGATGATACTGCTCACCATCCCCTCCAACACATAGGCCTGTTTCTCCTGTATTTAGCCTGTCCTGAGTTCATGTTCCTGCCTCTCACCAAAGCCTTCTTACCTTTAGGCATAATGAAGCCATGTCTCTCTCATGAAGGGCTTTATCCCTCAGTTTGAGGTGAGTTGTCCTTCAGGTGAAGTGTCAGGAACCCTCTTTTTGGTGCTAGGATATGCCAAATCATTACTTATGCACTCAGCTCATCTTCTCTACTCAACTAAGGGCTTTAGGAGATCAGGGGCTATATCTCCCTCACCTTTCCATTTCCTCAGCACCTAGAACTATGAGTACATATCTGGGTGCTCAGGGGCTATATCTCCCTCACCTTTCCATTTCCTCAGCACCTAGAACTATGAGTACATATCTGAGTGAATGAAGGAAGAATTCCTTATGTTCTTACAGTGCATCCTTCTAATAAAAAAACCCCCTCAATTATATGAATAAGTGGAAATCAGAAGTTCTCTATATCAAATTAGACCTTTTCTTTTTTAGTTGCCAGGGGACATGTGTGCTTGCCAGAGAGAGACAGGAAAACAGAGAGAGTGGGAGAAAGCACTCCCTCAGTGAGGGTGGGGGTGTGGTCATGCCACAATCCCTTCTCCATTTCCCCATCCTGCATGCATGAACATGTGCCTGGTGTGGTTTTCAAGCTACCAGGACTAGAACTCTCACCGCAATAAGTCATGTGGGATTTCGTTCCCTTAACCAGTAGGCTATAGTGCCAGCCCCCAATTTGACTCTGGGTTCCCTGACCAGATGTGCTGGGTTCCTATTTCTTTACATCCTGCATAGCCTCTGGTATAACATTTGGCCAGCAGCAAGTGCTCAGTGAGCACTTCTTGTCTTGTTCAAGAGTAGGGATGTGAATGCAGGTAATCCAGAGGAATGATTTACAACTGTGTGTTCATTGTGGGGACCTCAGTGGAGCATTGATTAGAGTTAGGCTTTGCTGATTAAGGGAGTGGTCTCTAAGGGGGAGTGTGCATACTCAAATAAGATCCCTTGGGTCAGAGAAGAAAATTGAGGAAGAGAAGAAAATTTTATAAGTTCTGTATCTTTATTTTGAAAATGGAAAAATAAATAGGTTTTATTGAGTTCTATTTAGACAGCTATGGACTGACTCTTCATTAGCTCCATATGACCTGCTTTGGGGGTGGGAGTAGTGACACCCTCAACTAGTTTGCTTCATTCAATATATTGAAAATAATCCTGAGGTGTTGGCATTTATCTGTATATTTATGAATTTTATTATTTAGTTTGTCTAGTCTAAGCTTCACAACATGGACAAGGGGCTTAAAAAATTCTTGTGGAGAAACAGGAATTGAAGCTATCACTAATAATGTAAGCATAAGTGAATAGCAAGAAAATGGCAAAAATGACTTTTTGTATACTAGGGTACCATCTTGATTAGCCAGATGACAAGGGATAAACAATGGTAGTCTAACCAGATCTGACAAGGATAAGTCAACCACTTTTCAAATGATCATGGCCTGGTAAGGGAGCTAGATCCCACATGGCCAACCATGAGGTTTGAATTTCTGACCCAGTGGCTTTGAAAAAAAAAAAAAAAACAAGCTCTGTATGTGTGCATGCATGCCCAAAGTACTGACAAGATGGAGGAAGGAAGGAGGAGAAGGGATTGCAGCATGACCACACTCCACTGGGGCGTACTTTATCACTTTCCTGCCATCCACTCTATCTCTTTCTGGAGAGCATATGTGCCCTCTGGAAATTTAAAAAAAGACTCTATGAAATGTGGATTTACATTCATTGTTACTTTGGTATTAACATAATCATATGTGGATAATGTGTGTCAAAGAATGGACCTCCACACACACAGCTATTTTGATGAACTGGACTGGGGACAAATGTTCACATATTGAAAAATGCACTTCATAAGCTAAATAATGTGCTTGAGTGTATAAAAAAATCAAAAAGAAAAGAAAAGAAGACTTGATCAGCCATAATCTATAAAATCATACAATAAAGGGAGACTAAAGATTTAAAGATTGAAAAAAAAAAAAAAGAATGAACCTTATGGTGTTGGAAGGATTAATGACTCTTAAAAATATTTTTATTTCACTTATCTTTTAAAACTTCTGTTTCTTTATTTGTTACAAATGTTACCAATATATTAATCTGTTAGTATATCTTTATGTAAATTAAAATAAACTTCCATATATTTGGAAAAAAACTGAAAAATGTTTTACCTATAGAAATTAATGTCCACTGTGACAGACCTCCATGCAAATGAGAATGTGGGTGACTCTTGATGGACTGCTTAGCGTCATCATGTCACACTCTTCTTGTGTTACTGGCTGACCCAAGAGCCAGCTCAGGGATGTGTATTATTAGTTACCATGGTAATGGCACAGCTGGGTGGAGATGGGTCATTAAAAATCCATCATCATTATTGAGCTAGAAATTAACTCAGATCACACATCCTTCTAAGGCTAAGGCATTTTTTTTTTTGCTTATAGAAAAATGTAATAGTTAAAATGTAACAGATTTAAAAACTCTGTGTCATGGGAATTACATGAGCATATGGGATTGTTCATACTTCTGGAAGTGAGTGACAAAAAATGCCTAGGAATTTACACTTCGTCAAGCATTTTGTTATTTAGTTCAACCTCACAATAACCCTGAATGGTAAGGATCATCTTCATTTTATGTCAAGAAAAGATAAAATAGACATGCACCATCTTGCCTATTTAGTAAGTCTAGAACCAGGGCACGACTTTAGATAACTGGTATTTGTCTTTTGCCATTAGCTTCCAAAGACAAATAATACATATGCACATATACACTGTATCAAGTCACCTGCTAATTTGAAGGCATTCACAATTTCTAAGCAAGAAAGGTTAGGTGGCACTGGATTATATGCCTTGAGAAGGAAAGTAAAATATGCACTCTTGAGGCCTAGAGCCAGAATCTTCATTTCATCTATCTGTATTAGGTGGTGAAAGCTAAGCAAATTTTGGTTATGCTCCTTGACATTGTATCATGTCATTTCTCAAGCAAAAGTTCTGCATTCTTTGTATGAGCCAAATGTCTCTCCATGGAACTTTGCCAACAGTTTTTCCCAAGGTGTTCTGCAGAGCATCAGATATTGACCTAAAATACAATAAATGTGAATCTCTCTCTGTTAACAGGACCATTGCCAACTATTTGGTGTGGAGAATGGTTTATTCCAGAATTCCAAACCTTAGCAGGCGCTTTCAGTATAGGTGGCTGGAATTTTCACGGGTAAGTTAAAGAAGGTTGCAGTGTTACATCACTGGATGACTTTACACGCTAGAACAGTCCATATATTAACTGATACAATAAAAATCATCTTTAAGGATTAGACAGAGGGAGTTTGGCAGTGCAAGCTCTCCTTTTTTTTCTTTCTTTTTATTGCCAGAGGGCATGTGCACTTGCCAGAGAGAAAGAGATAGAGGAAGAAAGTACCCCCCATGAGACATGGTCATACCACAATCCCTTCTCTTTCCTTTCTCTAACCTGTCTGGATTTGGGGCATGTACACATGCATCCCCAGCATGTTTTCCAAGCCACCTGGGCTGGGATCCAAACTACATTCAACATGTGGGATCTGGCTCCCTCAATTACTGGGGTATGGGATCGGTCTGCTTTCTTCTTTTTATTGAGGTATAACTTATAATAAAGCACACTCAAGCTCTACTTTGACAGGGCTATATAATAAAGATTTTTAAGGGAGTACTTAGGGCCATCATATTGCTTTATAACCTTCCTCTTCTTTTCAACATACTCCCATTTTTTTGGTGTGTTTTTCACTGAATCACAATAATTACAGTTTTAACATTTATTAGTGATATAACTGCATTTTATTTTCAGTATTCTAAGTACTGTACTCAAAATGTGTGTAATATGTATATTAGATGGTAACACTTTATTTGAAATTTGGGTATAGATTTTGTCTTTAACTTTACCTATATCTTCAATCTTTTAATGAAACCCAATTCTGCTAGTCCCCAGGGACCCCAACTTAATATCCTCTTTGCTTTTGTTCAACTGCTTGAATTGCATTTCTTCTTACCCTCACCTGGATTTTTAAGCTTTGCTTCTTTCTACTCTTCTTGCCTCTCAACTTATACAGTGTCACTATCAAATTTGTTTTCGAGGCTTATGTCTAAGTACTTCTCTCATCACTAGAGGACTTAAGAATTTTGTGACTTTTAATAAATAAATATATATTTCTTACATGAATATATAATATTATAGGGCTGATGTGGTTGCCAGAGAGAGACAGAGGAGTGAGAGAACACCTTCCTTGGGAGGATAGCAATGCCACAATCCCTTCTCCTTCATTCTACTCTTGGGATTTTGGAGATATGTGTCCAGTGTGTTTTTCAAACTACTGGGTCTGAGACTCAAGTTACATATTTGGCCATGTGGGATCCAGCTGCCTTAACCATCACACCACTGGCCTGCCCTTGAGAAATATTGTAAGTTTGTTTTTCTGTCATTTTAAAGTTAACTGAATGGTGAATTTTATAAGCAATGATTGCGTTTAGCAGATGCTTTAGTTATTAGAGAAACTAGTAAGCACAGAAATTCTTAGTGGGCCATTACTCTTGGAAAATAATGCAGTTTTTTAAAGTCACTAGAATGTAAAGTCACTTTATAGAGAACATCATAAAACAACTATATATACTTAGGTCATATAAGGATTAAGATATAAAACAAGTAGATTTGTTGTGTGTGTGTGTTGTGTTTGTGTGTGTAACTTCTATGGATCAGATAAAAGATGTGCACCCAGCTGCTTTCCACCCCCACTGTGATGAGAATGAGAGAGAGGTGTCCGAAGTAGTGTGTGAAAATTTGAGGTTAGGTATGAAGGAATGTTTCTTGATCATGAAGTGCTAAATATAATATTAAATTGCCAAAGAAGGTTGTAGTATCT